CACACTAATAGAGTAGGGAAGAGGGAAAGAGAGCTGGAGAGATTTCTGATCCGCAAGAACAAAAGTAGCCGGCAAATCCACAGAGCCTAAAGAGTGAACGAGAATCGCGACTTAACAGCATTGGAGCAATCGATCTCTTTCACAACAACAGGCTCGGATATAAGTTCGACCATCAGGAATGCCGCCGTACCCGGATCGTACGGCGATGCTATCAAACAGGTCCTTGGCCTCGTTCACAAGTCCAGCTTTACCACTGTGATCTTCCTTGGAAACCAACTCCATCGATCCAAAGTATTGACAGGCCTCTTTCAAATGACCTGAGTGGCTCAACGCTCTGTAAGAATGCTCATAAATGTTCGACTAACACCCTCCAATTGAGAATGTAAAGGAGAGTCTTGGGGCTCTGTGTGCATCCTGGGAATATCCCTGAAGCAGCGAAGTCCACAACACAATGCTTTCGACCGGCGCAGCGTCAAGGAGCTTCTTAGCATCGCTTCATGTCCATTTCGGGCATATGCGTGCTCCACAATTGGTGTCAACTCGATTTCCTTCTCTGCTGGATTCGAGGAAAGCCACACTAGTAGAGTTAGCGAAAAGAAAGAGAGAGGGATAGAGCAGGATTTTATCATGAAAGCGTGAACACCAGCCAGCAGAGCCTGTCGCTTCCAAAAAGAGTAAACGAAAATCGCGAATTCACAGCAGCAATGTCCTGGACCGTTTCATTGGGCAATCGATCTCTTACAACCAGGTCGCTAATCACTTGACTCGGATATCAGGAATGCCGCCACCGCCACCTTACCCTGATCCTAGCATGCTATAAAAAGGTTCATTCACAAGTCCAGGTCTACCAAGAACGTAAATCATGTCTGAAAACACAAAATAATCAAACTCCATTGAACCAGGCCGGAGTGGCTCAATGCTGTAAGAATGCTCACATAAATGTTACTTAGTCCTGACTAACACCCTCCAAATTGAGAATGTAAAGGAGAGCCTTGGATGCCGCGAATGGGCATATGCTGTGTCTCTGGTGGGCATCAAATTCATTATGATTTGTAGTTAAGGATGGCAAGCATGACATTCCACGTCACTCCGTAGCGATACGGCATCGATTCCAACAGCTTCCTTGTCGTCAACCAGGCGAGGGTGTGTCATGTTTGACACAATACCCCACATGGAACGTTAGTGCCTTGCTCGTGGTACAAGATACCAGGTCATCTGGTCATGGAGATTCCCATCCTGGGCATATGCTGTGAGCAGAATCGTCCACGAACGAGACCAAGTCCTCCTGTGGCATCTCTCTAAGTGTGCTGCCAAAATTCTATATTCTGGGGATGGGAATATGCTCTAAGCATCTCATTCCAAGAGACACTCTCATTCATTGCATCAACGATCCCTTTTGCCAATGCCAGATGCCCATCCTGGGAATACCCCTGAAGCAGCTAAGTCCACGTGGGCATATGACTGTATCTTTCCGCCACTGTGCCTTGGCACGTGTCTCAAGTACATTGCACGTCTCCTAGCCCACGTTATTCATGCAAGGCCTGTCTAATAGCATAAATACATGTCTTCCTCCACTCTATATACATACCACTCTCTGTAGCTATCTTTGCAGCAGCACAGTTTAGTCCCTGCGTAGCAAATCCCATGGAGAAGGCAGCAAAGATCACTTTTGTTCTCACACTCATAGTTGCAATTTCATTTGCCTCACTCGAGTCCACCAATGCTGTTGAGATAGCTCCCAACACAAAGTTTGTGCCAGCTTCTTCTCTTCTCTCATACTTCAGGAGCCTGAAAGAGCTGGAGTGCATGCCGCACTCTCAATGCTGCCCCGACTCCAAGCCCTGCCCATCAGAGGACCAGGAGTGTAAGATCTGTGCCCACACTTATCCTGCACTGTGCTTCTGCACGGACAAACCTGAGCTTAACAAGCTGATGCTGTAATCTGGAGGTATGACTTAATTCGTGTTTCTTTATACTCAGTGCTAATCATTTGTGTGTCCTAGAAGATGGGCGACTTGCTGCACACCTTCTGACCTGAAGAATGGAGTAATAAATGTTTTTATGTGCTAAAACTATGTGATTTTGGGCATTTTCCGCTTTGCAAATGATCTAGTAGTGGTTATTTCTTTGATAGCCACGACATGTACTGTGTCATTCACTACTGGTAATAATAAAAAAACTCTCAAGCTTGTTTGAGAGTTGACAACTACAACGATGTGTCAGTCTTAACTGTGACGTGTCTGCACGGTCTGGGTCTAGGGCTATGTCTTCTAGGGTTTTACAGGTGGCGGTGAGGATTGAGAGCGTGAGCCCGTCGACAAGGCTGTGGATTTCGCGAATTACTTCTGCACCTACTCGTATCTCTATCACCAGAAGGATATGCTGTCGGATCGGTGGATGCCTATCACTCGGCCGTGTTTAAGAACAAGCGCCATTTCCAGGGAAAGGTAGGAGATCTCTCTTCTTATTCTTGGCATTCTAGTGTTTCGATCGATGGTTTTGGATCGAGCAGACTGTCTTGGACGTGGGGACTGGGAGTGGGATTTTGGCGATTTGGTCGGCGCAAGCCGGTGCTAAGAAGGTGTACGCGGTGGAAGCTACAAACATGCCTCGCCACGCGCGGAGCTTGGCGAGCGCCAATGGAGTGAGCCTGTGGAAGTGATCGAGGGGTCGATTGAGGATGTTTCCATTCCCGAGAAAGGTGAGTGTTGTTTCTTTTTCCCTTGCGTTTTTCTTTCCTTTTCGTTTGTGTTTCTTCGTCTCTTTGCTGAAGGGACGGTGTGTGTGTGTGTGTGTTATGCGATGCGACTATATACCAGGGCTGTTTTGTGCTGAGCAGTCGATGTGATCATCTCCGAGTGGATGGGCTACTTCCTTGTTCGTGAATCTATGTTTGATTCGGTGATTTATGCGCGTGATCGTTGGCTCAAACCATCTGGATTGATGTATGTAGTTTTGGATTTGTCTCCTTTTTGTACACTGGCTCACTCAAAATCTTTTTTGTTGCTCAGGTATCCCAGCTATGGTTTGCTCCCATAAAGACCAAACTCGTAGAGCAAAAGAATCAAGCGTATCAGAAATCACTGGCAGATTGGAGCTACTTTGCTCAAGGGCTAAACGAGGCGTATGGTGTTGATATGAGCACCCTGACAATGCCATATCACGAGGAGCAAAAAAAATACTACTTACAGGTAAAATGTCTCTAGACTACCTAGACTACCTAGCTAAAAACGATGTTTTTGTTTCACTTCCAGACGTCCTTATGGTCGAACTTATATCCGGGTCAAGTGATTTCCACTCAACTCAACTCATATCAAGCAAAGATACATGGATTTGCAGCTCTTATGTAAAGACGTTGGAAAGCTCGCTCGCTCTGTTTAGTTTTTGTTACTACTTCCCTTTTGGACTAAGTAGCACTTGACAACAAGCTTTTCATCTGGCAGCATCCGACTTGACTTGAATGTATTGTCGTTGGCATCTGTCAAATAGAAAGTGCCATTTTCTTCACTGATATAGAACGCTGCCTGGGGCTCCAAGTCCCTGACATCCAGATGCAAACCAGTGGGAATTTCATCAATTTCACGGGCCACCATGACAGCAACTCGAAAGTAAGTTCGAGAGGTAAGCTTGATCCTCAAACTTCTCCCAGCTTCACACCATAGATCATCCTGAACCTGTCACGACGAACAACAATATAGTCAGTGCCATTGGTGATCTGGACCTTTGTGCTCGCAGCACCCATGTATCCTCTATTCCTTCCTTCTGTTTACCCACGAAGACTTTTAATACCTGGAGCTGAGGAGGAATAGTATGAAAACGAAATAGTTAATATTCACTTTTAAAAGCCATGAAGAGCTGCTAGCCTCGTTCAGAAGTCCAGCTTTACCAAGATCATCAATCATACACTGTGATCTTCCTTAGAAACCACAACATAATCGAACTCCATCGATCCAAAGCATTGACAGACCTCTTTCAAAGGCTCAACGTTCTCTAAGAATGCTCATAAATGTTCGACTAACACCCTGAATGTAAAGGAGAGTCTTGGGGCTCTGTGTGCATCCTGGGAATATCCCTGAAGCAGCGGAAGTCCACAACACAATGCTTTCGACCGGCGCAGCGTCAAAGAGCTTCTTAGCATCGCATATGAGTGCTCCACAATAGTTTAATCTGCAATCATGCCTTAGTGTCAACTCGATTTCCTTCTCTGCTGAATTCGACGAATTCCCCTGGAAAGCCACACTAGTAGAGTTAGCAAAAAGAAAGAGAGAGAGGGATAGAGCGGGATTTTATCATGAAAGCGTGAACACCAGCCAGCAGAGCCTGTCGCTTCCAAAAAGAGTAAACGAAAATCGCGAGTTCACAGCAGCAATGTCCTGGACCGTTTCATTGGGCAATCGATCCCTTACAACCGGGTCGCTAATCACTTGACTCGGATATCAGGAATGCCGCCACCGCCACCTTACCCTGATCCTAGCATGCTATAAAAAGGTTCATTCACAAGTCCAGGTCTACCTGTCTGAAAACACAAAATAATCAAACTCCATTGAACCAGGCCGGAGTGGCTCAATGCTGTAAGAATGCTCACATAAATGTTACTTAGTCCTGACTAACACCCTCCAAATTGAGAATGTAAAGGAGAGCCTTGGATGCCGCGAATGGGCATATGCTGTGTCTCTGGTGGGCATCAAATTCATTATGATTTGTAGTTAAGGATGGCAAGCATGGCATTCCACGTCACTCCGTAGCGATACGGCATTGATTCCAACAGCTTCCTTGTCGTCAACCAGGCGAGGGTGTGTCATGTTTAACACAATACCCCACGTGGAACGTTAGTGCCTTGCTCGTGATACAAGATACCAGGTCATCTGGTCATGGAGATTCCCAGCCTGGGCATATGCTGTGAGCAGAATCGTCCACGTACGAGACCAAGTCCACCTGTGGCATCTCTCTAAGTGTGCTGTCAAAAAATTCTATATTCTGGGGATGGGAATATGCACTAAGCATCTCATTCCAAGAGACAATGTCCCCTCATTCATTGCATCAACGATCCCTTTTGCCGATGCCAGATGCCCATCCTGGGAATACCCCTGAAGCAGCTAAGTCCACGTGGGCATATGACTGTATCTTATCCGCCACTGTGCCTTGGCACGTGTCTCAAGTTGCACGTCAACTAGCCCACGTTATTCATGCAAGGCCTGTCTAATAGTATAAATACATGTCTTCCTCCACTCTATATACATACCACTCTCCTGTTGTTGTTATCCTTGCAGCAGCACGGTTTAATCCTTGCGAAGTAAATCCCATGGACAAGGCAGCAAAGATCACCCTTGTTCTCACACTCACTGTTGCATTTGCATTTGCCTCACTCGAGTCCACCAATGCTGTTGAGATAGCTCCCAACACAAAGTTTGTGCCGGCTTCTTCTCTTCTCTCATACTTCAGGAGCCTGAAAGAGCTGGAGTGCATGCCGCACTCTCAATGCTGCCCCGACTCCAAGCCCTGCCCATCAGAGGACCAGGAGTGTAAGATCTGTGCCAAAATTTATCCTGCACTGTGCTTCTGCACGGACAAATCTGGGCTTAACAAGCTGATGCTGTAATCTGGAGGTATGCATAACTTATCTCATGTTTCTTTATACTCAGTGCTAAGCATTTATGTGTCCCACAACCACTTAGTTTTAACACATAAAGACATTTGTTCCTCCATTCTTCATAAGTCGCCCGTCTTCTGTATTTTCCGCTTTGCAATTGGTGCATTAGTGGCTGTTTCTTTGATAGCCACGCACTTCGCTACTGATAATAATAATAATAAAACTCTCAAGCTTGTTTGAGAGTTGACCTGTTTGAACGATAATGTCTTAATGGTGACGTGTTAGTACGGTATGGTGACGTGTCTGTACGGTCTGGGTCTAGGGTTTTGGATCTATGTCGTCTAGGGTTTTACAGGCAGCGGTGGCGGTGAGGATGGAGAGCGCGAGAGGCGGCGCGCCCGTCGACAAGGCGGTGGATTTCGCGAATTACTTCTGCACCTACTCGTATCTCTATCACCAAAAGGATATGCTGTCGGATCGGGTGAGAATGGATGCCTATCACTCGGCCGTGTTTAAGAACAAGCGCCATTTCCAGGGAAAGGTAGGAGATCTCTCTTCTTACTCTTCTTGTTTCAATCGATGGTTTTGGATCGAGCAGACTGTCTTGGACGTGGGGACTGGGAGTGGGATTTTGGCGATTTGGTCGGCGCAAGCCGGTGCTAAGAAGGTGTACGCGGTGGAAGCTACAAACATGGCTCGCCACGCGCGGAGCTTGGCGAGCGCGAATGGAGTGAGCCACATTGTGGAAGTGATCGAGGGGTCGATTGAGGATGTTTCCATTCCCGAGAAAGGTGAGTGTTGTTTTCTTTTCCCTTGCGTCTTTCTTTCCTTCTCGTTTGTGTTTCTTCGTCTCTTTGCTGAAGAGACAGTGTGTGTGTGTGTGTGTGTGTGTTATGCGATGCGACTATATACCAGGGCTGTTTTGTGACTTTCGTGCTGAGCAGTCGATGTGATCATCTCCGAGTGGATGGGCTACTTCCTTGTTCGTGAATCTATGTTTGATTCGGTGATTTATGCGCGTGATCGTTGGCTCAAACCATCTGGATTGATGTATGTAGTTTTTGATTTGTCTCCTTTTTGTACACTGGCTCACTCACAATCTTTTTTTGTTGCTCAGGTATCCCAGCCATGCTCGTATGTGGTTTGCTCCCATAAAGACCAAACTCGTAGAGCAAAAGAATCAAGAGTATCAGAAATCACTGGCGGATTGGAGCTACTTTGCTCAAGAGCTAAATGAGGCGTATGGTGTTGATATGAGCACCCTGACAATGCCATATCACGAGGAGCAAAAAAAATACTACTTACAGGTAAAATGTCTCTCTTTTTCTCTAGACTACCTAGCTAAAAACGATGTTTTTTTTTCACTTCCAGACGTCCTTATGGTCGAACTTATATCCGGGTCAAGTGATTGGCGACCCGGTTGTTGTTAAAGAGATCGATTGCTCCAATGCAACGCTCCAGGACATTGCTGCTGTGAAGTCGCGATTTTCGTTTACACTTTCTGGAAGCGATAGGCTCTGTGGATTTGCCGGCTGGTTTGACGTTCACTTTCGGGTCCGCTTTCGTTCTTTGCGGATGATGAAATCTCTCCCGCTCTCTCTCTCTTTTCCTTTTCTCTAACT